ACAGAAAGGTTGAACTGTGAACATATATTAATAAAATATTTCGTTTATATTTCATATTTTAGTTACAACTGTATAATAAAACATAATATTTTAATCTTATTTGTAGTCTTATGTACAATATATACACAGATAATATAATTCACTAATGATATCTGTATTAATATGCATTTATATATAGGTTTAAGTTCACATTTGTAGAATGTGGATCTACAATTGCAGAGGAATTCAAGTTAGAAGAAAGTATAGCAGATAGAGAAAGATTTGAAAAAGAATGGGATGTTACAGTAGCATCACAATCGATTCCTTTGTATTTAAAACCTTCGGAATCGAGAACTGTACAAGTATCATATACACCTTTCTCACCATCTTTCTCATCTGCACTTTTATACATTAGGTAAGCTTAATTCAGTAACTTAATTGAATACGTTAAATTAAAAAATGGATAATGAATCTTTTTTTATTTTCAACAATTATAGGAATAACATGACTATATTGGAAACAGTGTGTGTTATAGGCCAAGGGGCAAATGCACAATTTAGATTCGGAAATCGAAAGCCAGGTTCTACTACACCTTTATTATTTGAACTTGCGGATAAACATCTTAAAGATTGTGAACGTATGTACGTTTCTTCACCTTCGTTCTATCATTTAAGCAGAATGGAAAAATGGAAAAATATATATAATAGATTATGAATAATAAATTATGAATAAATATAATTAAGTAACATAAAATAATATATAAGAGTGTTTATTTAATAATATATTTTCATTCTTTTCCTGAATAATAGGAGAACGATTTAAACGGAATCCGCTTCCAAATTTAACCGTAAAGAGATCCTTTATAGCAAGAAATACAGGAGAACTGCCTATAGAAATCTATGATTTTTATATTAACGGTTTACGATGCGAAGGGTATGGTTTTAAAGTATTGAATTGTATGCCGTTTGAATTAGACCCAAATGCCACAAAAAAGGTGGAAATAGCATTTACACCAGATTTTACCTTATCACGTATTGAAAGGAAGCTTTTAATAGCTACAAGTTTGGGTTCTGACAGTGACATCGAAAATGGTATGGTGATACTTAATTTACTTGCTACTCTTCCTCCACATTCTTTGGAAGCTTGTACAGCTACGCTTGCAAGACCGTCGTGGGAATACGCTGTACAATGGGCAGCTATAAGTCTTTCGTCGATATTATTAATATGTGTTCTCGCTATTTCGTTTCTCGAGGCGGATCGAATATTACGGGGAGCTTTAGCTAGTTTTTCAAGAGAAAGTCCAGTTCAGCCACCTCTAGATTTAAGACTGTTGTCGCACATGCCTGTACATTCAACTCAAGATACAGCTTCCTTGAAAGAAAAATTAATAAATGAAGAAAAACAGAAAATAGTGAGAAAAGAGGAAACGTATCCAGATTGGGCATTAATGAATGTAAAAAAGTATAAGGACAAAGATAACGTTCAAAAAGGATTGAAAATTCCTGACTGGTCCGTAGATGAAGAACGCAGATTCAAGTTGGATACTGAGACAAAAGATTTGTTATCATTTAAACGATGCGAAGAGTCACCTTTAGATAGCAGTAACATTATAAGCAATATTACGCTTGGTGCCAAAAAGAAAAACAATAAAAAGCAGAATAGTGTGCAAGAAGTTCAAATGGATAATTGTGTGACAGAAAATGCTTTTTCGGATATTCAAGGAACTCAAGAAAAAAAGTATACTGTGAACACATTTACGAAAACAAGTCCTGTAACCAATAGGAAAGGGAAGTCCAATCTAACAGCAAACGTTAAAGCGGAAACGAAACTGGTCGATCATGAAGTTCAAGTTGATACAACAGGACTTCTTAATAATACTCGAAGTAATAAGTTAGATAGTAAAAGAAAACAATCTACGGTTGGAAATAGCAATAACAATCACGTATCTTTCAAAAAGTTTGAGTCGAATAGTAATCAGAGAAATATTCATCTTTCGGAGGAAGAAACGTCGTCCACAACAACGGAAAGTTCTATTCAAGATGATTCACCATTATGTAAGGTGAATATTTTTTGTCAAATTACATGTATAATGAGTTACTATCTGTTACCATTTTATGAACTACAAAATTATTTTATAATAAATTTAAATATTATTTATTATAGAATTTCGATCAACCTTGTGGAAAATCCGATAAATTGCAAAGAAAGCCTGTAACCAAAAAGACTAAACCTCAATCAATCGCTTCTGTGCCATGCGTAGATTATAAAGATAATTACGAAGGTGACTGTGACGATGACGAATATGATAAAGAAAGGCATAATAATCCAAACAGGTGGAAAACGAATACAAGGTCCACTATGAAACATCATATTCATACAACCCGAACAGTTGAGTCATCTTTCAAGTTACCTCGTCAGAATAAAAATCCTCCTAGGAAAGATAAAGGATCTCAAAAACGTCGAGGCATTGATAAAGGACACATAAAAAGTATATAAAGTCTTTTAATATATTATTAATACATTATGTGACTCGTTAGTTATATTTATAACAGAACGTATCAATTTATTCTTTTTAAATTTAAATTTCATATTCCATTACAATCTCTACAACATTTTAATTCGTTACTTAATTATTTTATTATAGCAACAACATTAAATGGAACTACTAGCCAAAGGGAAGAATCGACGCGTACACTGGGGGTAATTTCTGCTCCATTACCACCACCACCATCGTGTTGGGGTGAAAACCGAGCTAGGTTTAGTGACGTTGTAGCACGAAATCAAGAAAGCATTTCGCCGTTCTCGAGCTTAAATAAGTTACACAAAACTCAAACGACCACGCATAATATGTCAATGGTCTTCAATAACGACGCCAAAGATATAGATTATACTAAACAACAATCAAATCAAGAATTAATACAGAGTACGAAGGAATACAGAATGATATCAAAATCTCCATCTCTCTGTGTTCAGTCTATTGAAAAAGAAAAGCCTCTTAATCAGGATTCTTTAAAAATGCAGAATAGTTCGCAACACTTAAATAGTTATTTCATAAATGCCTTTACGGAACCACCAGTAAGTTGATTAGTAATTTAATTCATTAATACCGTTGTAATTAACTTTTCTATTCAATTCGAACTCCTTTCTAGTTTGAACGGGAACTGGTTCCATATGACGATCTTCCAGAAACCGATGAACCATTAATGGAATTAGAAAGTCCTGAAGAAGATACACGATGTCAGTTATGGGAAGATAATAATCCCATGCTTAAATTATTATCTGATAGTACAAGTGGATTTCAGTTAGAATCGCCAAAGTCCTCAGAAAAACCTCCAATGCTAACGGATACGTTAAAAGGTAAAGAATTTAATGTATATTATATTTTTTTAATTTAAAATGAACAAGATATTGTATACTAACTTTACAGATAATTGGGTAACAGTCGAAACAAATTGGGAACCCTTATATACTAGAGCAGCAGTAGGAGAAGAAAGAAGCGGTGTTTGGGGAATAAATACAGGCGGTGTATGGGCTGCAGGTCCATGGGGTGCAGCTACACCACCTGTAGTTTCACAATTATCTTCATTACAAACAGAATCGGATACACAAGTAAGAGAATAATAACTCTATTGTATTCACTTAAATTTGTGATTTTCAATTTTTTGATATACAATGTGGAAAATATTTACTTTTCTACAAATTTATATCTTACATGTATTCTATTTATTGTTTTAGGAAAGGTCAGGTTTTGATCCATTTCGTTCACTCAGTACAATATGGACACCATCATCCTCAGAGTCTTGGAAGAAAAAACACGAAGACTAATCTCGTTCTCAAAAATTTTCGATATTGTATCTTGTGATATCTAGACCTGGTTAAAGGAATTTTCTTTTCTAATATGGAAAGTAATAATGTATTTATTAGCAACACCTTTCGTGATCGATAACGCTTAAACTACCAGCTGGTTTTTGTTATTATTCGTGTTTCGCGTATTTGTGATATGTTGTTGAATAGTACCTCGCATGATAATACCGAATAAGCTCGGACAAAATTGTTTTGTACTTGTTAAATTTTCTCGTTGTCATTTATGGATTTATGTTATTATGGTATTTTAGCATGGTGCGTTAAAAATTCCACTCTCAATTTGAAATCATAAGACTTTTTTATGGTTTCGAGTTGGAATGACCAACCAAAGTCTGAATTGGAAGTAAAATTTTACATCGATCGAGGCATAGATTAATCAAAGAAACAAACACATAAAAGTAAAAAAATTTCTAGTTAATGAATTTTTGCCTTTTGATTGTTACCTTCGTTTTTTTATACTTTCTACACATACATAAAAAATAATCACAATACTCAGAGAATGTTGGTCTTGATGTTATGCAAAAAGGTAATAATTAAGTTATTTGGAACGAGTGAGAACTGTGATTTTTATAGTCTTGACTTGTAGAAATTTCTTCGGTAAGTTTTCAAAACATTTTACAAAGTTGTGATGTATACAAAACAAAATAAAAATGTGTACCTACTCTTCAAGACTGGTAATTGCTGTGTGTTAATAATTTGAAACTTGTTATAATTGATGTTCAAAGTAACATTCAAAATATTTAATTATTATTAATTATTAAATTAATAATTATTAATTATTATTATTTATTTATATATAAAATACTTGAAGAGATAAAATTGTGAAAGTTTTTAACATCTATTATTTTTAAAAATTATTGAAATTGATAATTTAATAATTGTATTATTAATTAAACTTTGAAGGTAATTGCAAAATTATATTCGAATAAAATAGTTTAAAAATAATTTAATAAAATTAATTTTATTACAAAAATGATAGAATATATATATGAAATTTTACATAATTATTTTATAATTCTTAAAAAATGAATACTTACAATTTTACATTTTGTATTACAAAAAATAAATTACAGATACTTAATGAATAGCATAAAAGGGTATCAAAGATAAATTTCCTATTATTGTAAGACAAATAAAAATTGTTTGTTTGTTACAGATTATAAAACTGTCTGCCTACAACCAGGTTTTGTCATGTTGTTCATAACACGTGATTTAGTTTGTTGTATCCTTTGGAGCAATAACTGTAAATGTAAATATTTTGTCATTAATTTATAATGATTTTATAAACAATTATCTTCAAACATATTGAGTATTTCAATTAAGATATTCATACATACTATATTTTCATTTTCTATTCTCTTCTGTAATTTTCTTCTATTTATTGCAGAACTACTTATTCGGGGTAGTTGAACATTTTCATGAAGTATCTTTTCTTTTGGTTTTTGTTGTGCCATTATCTTCTTTAAGAGAATTTGATTTTCCCATTCGATTTTCCGTAATTCTTCATCTGTAAAACTCATATTTTTTCTTCTATTTCTTATCTGTTTAATTCCTATGGAATCATCCTCAGATATTGAACTCCTACAGCCAACTGAATTTGTAATTTCATTATTTTGTATTATATGTTCAGACTTTTCTTGTTTATCCTTATTCTCCTCCTGATTATGCTTACAATTAGTGATTTGGGGGGAAAAATGGGAATCATTAATTGATCTTGAAGTAACATTAGTTCCTTCAGATACATCACAAGACTCATCAGAACAAAAGGAGTCATTAGTGTAAATAGAATCTTCATCCACGGTATCTTTTATTATGTTTGCAGTGTGTTCTATATCTTTGGGGGTCTTCAATTCTTGATCACAGGTATCTTCCTCATCAGTGTCTTCTTCGTCAACTTCATGAATACTGGGTACATGATTAAAGCTATCTTTCATTTCAGAAATTTGTTCATGAACCATTTCGTCCGTTAACGTGAACGTATATTGACATCTACAATTCGACTGTGTGTCTTCTAAGCATGACATGGAAATTAGTAATCAGTAAAACGTTTCAATAGCAAAGATACAACTAATAATAATACAAAATTTATTCGACGATATTTTCAGGTTAAGAAAGAAGTGACTGTTCAGTAACCATATCAACGAAATAGTAAAACAATAAAATATTCATAATTTCAGTAACTCGAATGATATCAAAAACTACATATTAGTACGCTAAAAAATATGCATTACTTAATAATATACATTTTTAATATTTTTTTTTTTACTACAATAAATCGTTGACCTAATTTAAAATATATTTAATTAATTGTATTAATATAATAGAAATAAATTGGGAAAATCATCAAATGTTTCTTATATCATGTCTTATAATCTTTACCTAAATAGTATATATCTTTAATAAAAAATTTCTTAAGTGAGGAACATAGTTACTTATTCTAATGCATAAACTTTTCATGATTTTTTCATTAAAAGTACTTAATGTTATACGATACATTTTATGTCAAATACACTTTTAACAATAATATAATGTATTTAAAAAATATAAATAGTAAGGCAGGTACAGAAATTAAAGTAAGTCACTCTTTTTTCCGCTAAAATGTATTTTGATATAAAAGTTTAAAAATAATGTTTTAATCATTGGCAAATCCAAATACTTTTAAACTGCCAGCGTCTCGTTTTCTGTCATAAGTGTCTTTGTCATCGCATGCATATGCTAATAAATATTGTTTTGGGTGCCATGCAACTGTGAAAGTTGCTGCCTCTACTGGTATATCTGCAATTTTTTCTCCAGTTTCCACTTCACCTATATCTATCACAAGATCTTCAGATGCTGCAGCTAATAGTTGTCCATCATAAGAAAATGAAATAGTTCTTACTGGCCACTCTAATCTTGAAAATGTTCTCATAGTTGCAAAGTATCTTCCAGTAGGATCAAACTCTATACAAATACATGTTCCTGGATGTGCTTTAATTACATGTAACAACTCTAAATCTGGATAACTAAGGATATGTACACAACCTTGACCATTAGTTAAATAAAATGTGTCAGAGTCTTTATTCCATGAGATTTCATTCACTTCAAAATTAAACTGTTCTTCAACACGCATCTTCATTACTCGTGCATCAATAAAAGTCACTAAGTCTTCTTTGTTTCCAACTGCTATTGTATTACCATCAGGTGACCATGATATATTAATATTTTCACCTCTTGTGCTAATATTTGCTGTGCATTTTTGTGTTCTTGTATCCCAAATTCTAACTGTCTTGTCTCCACTTGCGGTAGATAATAATTCTGGATAAAAGGCATGCCAGCACAGCTGATCTACGCTACCACCATGTCCTCTAAATGTTATTTCTTGTTTCTATAATAAATTATATCTGATTAAAATCCAAGTTTCAATAAACGTTTTAATTATCTTTTAAGAAAATAATAATATAATTCTGAACATAGAAAAAAATAGAACTTTAATATACTTAGAAAATAAAGCCAATTTCATACGAAAATGCAATAACATGTGAATAATATTAAATTCAAAACCTCATAACTTTCAATAATATGACATTAACATAACAATATTAATTAGTTTCATAAAATTTTAACAATTAATAATTAATAATAAATACGTAAATAAAATAATAAGTAAATGTCTACTGAAATTAAACATTAAACGAAAAAATTATAATATAATGTAGAACAAAAATTGATATTAAGGTTAAGTTTACTTACTAAACGATCCGGAGAAAGAGAGAAAATACAAACAGATTTATCAAAAGATCCCGAAGCTAAGAGTTTTCCGTCACAACTCCATCCTACACTGTGTACTTTAGCAGAATGACTTTGTTGCTCCCTAATTTTGTTGTGTGATTTAAAATAATTGATCAACTCATCAACACGAAAAGTAGACATTCTTATTTAAGATTTAATTTATAATCATTAATTAACTATTCATTTAGAATTTATTATTCTCTTATTGAATAATAGTCACTTAATATATATGTAATTCTTGTGACATATAATAATTATTTATATATTACATATTTTACTTCAACCACAAATAAGGTATAAGGTAGACTTGATAACGTATACATTTTTGTATACATGATTTAGAAATTTGTCAACGACCTAACATTTTTTAATTACCTCGATATCAAGTAAAATTACAATAGAAAGAAATACTTGAAATTAAAATAAAATGCAATATGAAATTACTAATAAAATTAAGAAAAAAGAAAAAAATAATTAAACATTCAAAAATTTTATTTAAATCTAAAATCTTAAAAAAATTTGACATTTTTAAATATTTTAATAACTAAAATTTATTATGTAATCTTTAGCTTGCTATAAGTTTTTAAAATATATCTTTTTTTAAAAAATAGTATTGAATACTAAATTCTTTTGTGAAAAACAATTACACAAGAAACTTGTAAGATGAATTTCAATTTTAATCATTCTTCTTTTTGTAGAATTTAATATTTCTTATATTAGGTTTTTAATAATTTAATTGTAAGAATTATACCAATGTTTATTAATAATGAGTATAAACATAAGTTAGAAAAACTCTTGATATAGAATATAAGTCATATCTTGTTTGTAGCCTTAGAGTGTATACCACAAGTACGAATAGGAGGATATGTAAGTAACAAAAAAAAGATCTTTTTATGTCTGTTAATTTTATGAATTTCAATAGTTAGATTAAATATAATTTCTACTCTAAATCACATTAAAAAACATAACAAAATCTTGTATTTCTTTAGACAATAGATCTAGTCTATTTCTCGTTTATGACCATATGTTATCAGCAAAATTATATAAAGTTTTGTTTCTCATTTTTTACAATTATATATACACGGAACCAATCAAATTTCAATTGATGCTATAGAAGTTAAATAACACTTCAATACATCGAAAACTACATAGAAAAAATATTACTAAATTATTAATAACAGAATAATTTTACTTTTAATTAATATTTAATATTTAATTTGTTAACTTTTCAATATTTCAATATTACTCAATTGAATATTATCCAAAGTAATATATAACTTAAAAAGCTTTCCTTTGTTTCATTTCGCTTTTAGTTTTTATTTTATTTCTTTGTATTATTAGATATCATCTTAATAACTAATGTTTAATACTTTGAAAATTTATTTAAATACATATAAATACGATTGTCTTCCACGAATGAATATCACTACACCATAAATATGATATTCATATCGGATTATAAAAAAAACGAAGTTGCGTAAAGGGTTCTAACACTGATTTAAAAATTGATGATTACTAATATATGATATGATTATGTATATGAAACACTCAAGGACGATTGCCATAGTTATGAGAAGTATGTTGGAGGTAATTTATTACAAGAATATACATATATTAGGGTACAGTTTCAATACTATATTTTTTCTGATTAAAATAATTACAAAATAATAACAAGACTGTATAGTACTGTATCAGAAAATTAATAATATATTTATTTATAAAATTTTTGTTTATATACATGATATAAATGCATAACAACGTTTTATTTTTATTATTCTGTATACTTCAAATTGTATCATTTTTATTTAAATAAATATGAAGTAGAAAATAAGTTATTTAAGTTATTATTATTATTATTATAACTATGCTTAATAGATTAATCTTATGATTATGTATCTAATGTATTTAAATACAATATTTTCTTATGTTTTGAGCCTTATTAATTTTTAATATATTGTTTTAGAGAAATTAAGAAATTTATAAACTTTTTGTTTATTTGTAAATGGTGCAAAATAACATTATACATATATTGAATTTGAATACAATGTGTGAATCTTTTCAGCGCTTTCAATTAGTATTAATACGTTTGTAAGTGTTTTTACAAAAAAACACGCCAACAGATGGCGCAAACGTTATGTCTCAAATTGGATTGAGAATCATGAATCTAATAAATTTTATTATCAGTGTGGCTTGCTTGAGAATTAAGTTTATAAATATATAACAAATTAGGACGGTAACGTCCTCTTACGAATGATCTATATTTAAAGAACTTATTCGTCGAAATTGTAGTTGTATTTGTAACATAGGCGAAAATGCGAGAAGCGAATATTTATATGCGATATATTCGCAGAACGTCATCTAATGTGATCGTTCGTATCGCCTGATTAATATATTCGATAAACTGCTCAACGCGACAAGCTTTGCAACCAGTTCAAGAGCAATGTTGATACCGTTAATAGCATTTTGAGAATTGCGCCATGATAGTGCTTGCACGAAATAGTCAAATTCTTTTAAACCAAAATAAGGTGTATTTAAATTAATTCATATTTTATTTTTAAATAAATTTCTACTCAGTAGAAAATCTTCAAAAGCTAAATATTAATGATTTACAATGCCACGCAGTCGTTTGGATGCTGTTTACAGAAGTATTTTGCTTACAAAATTTTTCACAAAGGGTTGGGGTAGTCCTCAAAATTTGAAAAGGTAAGAATAGTAAGAAAAGTATTCAATATTGCATACTTAACTGATTTAAATATAAATGAATTCTATTTATAGTATAGTAGAAATTGTTGGATAATAATTTTTTATTTGTTATATCTATAAAATTTTGTATTAAGATGATGGTATTTTGTATACAAACAATATTTTAACGTTGTTTGGTAAAAACAAAATTATTTAACATGTAAATTAAAAATGAACAAAATTAGTAAAAATTATGCAATTTGGAATTATTATATTAGATGTGTATGAGGTAAAAAAAAAATATGAATATAGACATATGGATCATAGAATATTAATCATTAAATTTATTTTGTAGAATTTTTGAATTCAGGAAACTTCTTGCCAATAGAGAAACATGTTACAAACTTATTCCACTTGATTATCCAATCAACATAACTAAAGTATAGTATAAATGTTTTAAAATTACTTTAAACAAAATAAAAAGTTGATAACTCTTGTATATATATTTAAATAGGATGAAGAATGGTCAGACTGCCATATAATCGAAGGTTGTTTTGAAAGTCCATTTAATAAGCACCTTCCAGATATAATGCCTTATGAGACAATAACTGCACATTTCCAATTAGTTCTACCACGAAAATGGTATTCCCATAAAATAAAGCCTATGTGTTTACATCTTGCAGGTACAGGAGATCATGTAAGTAAATTATCTCTTCATTCAATTGAAATATTACTTTTTCTTGAAAAGATGAAATTAATGAATTATATGATATTAGTACTTTTGGCGAAGAAGAAATCTGATTGCTAAGCCTTTATTAAAAGAGTCTGGAATTGCATCTTTATTAGTAGAAAATCCATTCTATGGTATGAGGAAACCACAGAATCAAATGTAAGAAATTGTGTATAGAAGGTTTGTAATAGTAAAACCATATTGTATTTTAAAAAAGATATCTATTTATGTTAATAATAGCATACTTTGTAGACGTTCTTGCTTACATAATGTCTGTGACATCTTTATTATGGGAGGATGTTTAATAATGGAATCAATTGTTTTACTAAATTGGTGTGAACAACAAGGTTTTGGACCATTGGGATTAACAGGTTTATCAATGGGTGGCCATGTTTGTATTTTTATTTATACAAATAAATTAAATTATTTCATTTATTTTCCATTACAATGCATATTGATTTATTGGTTTGCTTAGATGGCTTCCTTAGCAGCAACTAATTGGCCAAAACCAATACCATTAATTCCTTGTCTTTCTTGGTCGACAGCATCACCAGTATTCACACAAGGAGTAATGAGTGCTTCAATTAATTGGACACTGTTAGAAAATCAATATTTTGCAAATGAACTATATCAAAATGATCTTGCTAAAATGGTAAAAGTTATAGGTAAAGAAGTAAGTAGATATAATAGATTTTCAAATGAAAAGAAAAGATTTAAATACAGTTATAAATAGAAAATACAATAAATTTTAATACAAATATTTTATTTATTTATTTTTAGGACGCGTTTTTTGCTGGGCAACATTTTGCACAGCATTATCCTACAAGTATGAAAAGAATTGATGAATTAAAACAATTGTCTAACAATGTTACTAAAGATGTACATACAATAACTGCCTCTGAAACTGTGATTCATAATAAAGAGTATAAAGACTGTAATTCAAAAAATGAAGACAATACTTTAAAAAATCAAGTTGCTGAAGAAAAAGCAGCACAAATATTTCCTTTAAATATTTTATCTAACAAATTTAAGTTAAGGGATTCAAATACACTTAAAGGCAGGTATTATCTGTATGTGTATTTATAAGGTACTATTTATTATATACTATTAACATTATATATTTATTTATTTTATTTTTGTAAAGTATTTGTATTTTATATATTTTTAATTTGAATAAATTAGAAAACTAACATAGAATATTGACTTACATTATACTAACTTATAAGTATACCTTAATATACCCAAGAAAATGAATTTGAGTTTTTGTTTTTCCATAATATAATAATTCTAATCTTATCCAATTTCCTTTTTTTCACATATATAAAATAATTAACAAATTCACAAATGTTTAATATATAAGTTGTTTTTAATAAATGCTTATGTTACTTAAAGTATTTACTAAAACATTATTTTTATTTCTTAGTTTTAAATATTAACTTGAATACTAAAACGCATGATTATTGCATATATTGCTTTGGCAATAGGGATTTGTTTGTTACCAGTTCCAAGACATCCATTATTTTCGGATTGTAAATGGCGTGAACGAGAGGCATTGCAGTTCATGTGTGGAATAATGGATGAATGTACGCATTTAAAAAATTTTGAAATACCTGTTGATACTGAATTGATTATTGCTGTTTGCGCAAGAAACGATGCATACATACCACGTGATGATTGTATGAGTTTGGACAAAATTTGGCCAGGAGCTGAAATTCGATATATAGACGCTGGACATGTATCTGCATACCTTCTTCATCAGAAAGTATTTAGGTATGTAAATGTCATGTGGAGAATTCCTGATAATGAGTAGCACAAATTTACTTACAAAAGTATAAGTTTTGAAAAGTAAAAGGTTACTACTTATAGCTATCTTTTATTTATATTATTCTTTTGCAATTTCCAGATCTACTATAGTAGAGGCATTTGAACGATCAATAAAAAAATATCCTTTACATATTAGTTGATATATGTATAAATTATATGTACATATATATGTAAAATTTGGCAAAGGTATAAATCAATCGAAGTTAGCATGAAGTTATTTTTGGAATGGAATTTTAAATTATTTTTTAGGTACTTTACGATTTTTATTATCTTTTACTTGAACAATTTCGCAAACTGAAGAAATAGAAATAATTATACATGCGAACATATTCTTTATAGATACAATGTACAAAATGTTGTTTGTTATAATGAAAAAGCTATATAAGATGAATATATTTTATATAATATAAATAAATTGTAAAATACGTTGTACAAAAGAATAAATTAGTCTATTTCATTGTTTATTTGTTTACTACTTATATTTACTATATACTGTTTAAAAATTTACTTATGATTCATGAAAGTTCACAAAAAATGTCTTATTTGTGATATTATGATGTCTAAATATTGTAATATTATATTAACTCGAAATATATTTAAAATTATACAAAATTCAAGAGTACTAATAAAAATATGTAGATACTAAATTGTTCTCAAAAATAAAATATCGGACTATATGAACTTAAATTGTGCGGGCATTATAAAATAGGAAATACAATTGCGCTATCTATAGGACCGACAGTAGAATCGATTAAACCGGAAACTCTGTAGCCGCTCGCGTAAAGGCCAGGAGCAAGCGTTGGCCACATGTGTTTTGCAGACCGCTTTTCCGTGGAAAAAGATCGCCGAAAATGCCGTGTTTACGTAATCCGTGGTAACGTGACGTTGAAACGGTGCTCCGAAACTCATTACTGTTGTGACAAAATTTTTAGCCTGTACTCAAGCAATCCTGGGAAAGTCCGCAAAATATAAAGAAGAACGTGAAGAAAAATTACTTGTACTAACAAGGTGTACCCTGGTTGTCTGCTAACTTCCTTTTTTCTACTCGGCACATACTACATATACTCGTATATTTTCTCGACATTTTTCATCTATAAAGAAGGTAGAATCAATCATTATTTAATTATTGATCATTGATTAAAAGAAAATTTATGCCGGCTGATTTTTGATCATCTTATGAAATCGCCGAGTCAGCGTATTCTTAACCACACAAGCGATCACCTCGTGTACATCATATCGAAAGTTCTTCATACATACAACTGAATTATTAACAAATTTTTTCTTAGAAACTTTTTCTCTATTGGATATCGGAAAAATTCTAATACAGTGAAATTGAGAAAGCATTATTGGATATTCGGTAACGACCGCGTGTGTACGCCGCGCCTTCTGGAAAGAGCGATTCCTCGTAACAAGTCTCAAGTGGGCGTTCTCTTGCTAGCAAAGAAACTAGCGCTTGGCTTTGTACTATTGTGCAGTATTTTTGTTAAATTCAGCGTGTTCGTGCATTATCGCACGAACTTCAAGGAGACATGCGTCCAGTCCACGGCATGGAGGACGTCCTTAGATTGGTGCTTTAAGGCTGAATCGACACACGAAACGTCTCGAAACTCCGATCAGGTAACGAAGTTGCTCGGGTAGATTAATGTGCCCGAGGGTGCTCAACGTTTCTCAGGACTCCTCAACTGCCTGAGAAGGAGTAACATCTTATAAAACCCTTTCGAGCCAAATCCTCGTGTTTGGACCTCGTGTTTTGTCTTTCGGCGCGTACGATTCAAGATGGCGGCCAAGGTGGCCAGCGGCACTCAGGGAAGTACCGAAAGGGAACAGGGCCCCGGGGTCTCTTATGCAAGTATCTTAAATCCCAAAAGCGGCAATGATGCCCGGGTTCCTAACAAGGGTAACAACAAAGAAAACATCGGTGCACAAGTGGTTCAACAGCAATCAGTACCTATAAAGGATCGTATTGCTTCTCAAAGTCTAATTGCTAAAGGAAAGTCTTATCAAAGAACTGAAAGGAGAGTCAATCCACATAATAAAGTTGAGAAACGCTATGGAAATGAATTACCACCTGCTGCTGAACAGAACCAATTGGTTGTACAGAAGGAGAATGTTACTGAGCAACGACAAGAACCTACTCTTGAAAGTGAGCAAGTGAATGATGACATTGGAAGTGACGGAGAGTTTCAGACAGTAGCACCAAAAAGTGCTAGAAGGAAAGAAAAATTACGAGAACAGCAGCGGGAACTTAGAGAATGGCACAGATATCGTGATCACAGACATCCTCTACGTGGCCATACTGGGAGCAATGAAAAATCGTACAAAGAACGAGAACGTGGTGACAGAGATCATATTGTGGGAAATAAAGATATTTCAAGAGATAAAGAAGAATCAGAAGCAGAGTCAGAAATTCAACCTCCACCTCCTATTAAATATGTTGAAGCTCCTTTACCTGCAGTCAATCCTTGGACCAAAAGTAAAATTACACCATCAATTGCACCTACAAATTTTGTCACTGCCATACCTTCAGGGACTGTGACATCCACGGAGAAACAGACTGAAAAAGAGAAAAGAGTACTTCAACCTCAGCAACAACAAGGAATTATAGGTAAGTGTTAATACAAATATAAAATTATTTATGCCTTTATTTAGAATTAATATAATAATTTTTATAATTTTGATATATTAATACCTTATTAAATTGGAAAAATAGAATTGCATATTTTTTATAAATTTTATTAATATTGCATACTAATTTTTTTGCTTTTTCTTTTGTATGTTATATAATTTAATAATTCTTTTATGAATGTATTTCCAATGTGTGTAAGTTTATAAATTATAATATATTAACTTTTATTTTTTATTTTATAATATTTAAAATGTAAGCATTTTTTGACAATATATTAACTTGTATTTTTATAGTTATTGAAATTGTTGAAGTACATTCACTGTGGATATAAATATAAATTTAATATAAAAATTGTAAAATTTTTATAAGTACTTCTGTATGGTTTTTGTATTAAAATGGCCTTGTACTTTGTTCAAGTGATGAAAGAGGTTCTTATCTAGTTAGAGTTTATGGAAGTACTTCTTCAAAGGTACTGATGATATGGATGATTTGGAGAAGGGGAAACTGTGTCTTACTCAATTAGTATTATATAATAACACATTTGATTCATAACAATATTATTTAATAATTTATAACATAAATTTTTAATATTTCACTAGGAAAGTTTAAATTAGCAAAAAACTTATTTTTCTAAGATATTCTATATATAATCTCAGCAGTGAAATTCTATTTTCTATCTAGAAATACTATCATAAATTATTGCATAAACTGAATATAATGCCAAAATGTATTTTCTTAATAACATATATTCATTATATATGAAGATGAGTAGGCATTTTTTAACTAAAGTATATATTACTTGCGTCAAAATATGAAAGAACAATGAATTTTTTTATAAAAATGTTTTAGGCTTTATGCATACCAAACTAAATAATTAGCAAAATATTAACAGCGCAGTTTTATTGTTTCAGTACAATTGGTATGTATTTGCAAATTATGCTGTTATTACATAGTAACTTGTAAAATAATAACATGAAATTGTAAAATAATAACAGAGTAGATTGTTCAGACATGCGAAAGCAGGAAGCCATAATTTTAACCATGTATTATAATTGTGTGAAAAACGTTTTTAAAAATATTTCGCGAGCTGTGAAATTTTTAAAATTATGTAAAAAATAAGTTTAAAAAATTCACACTCGTATATCTCGTTTAAAAAAATATTAAAAATCAAGAAAATTCTTATTTAATAAAATGTGTAACTCCTGCAAGGTAATGAAATTATTTAGGTTAGTCAAGTTGTATGGTTAGTCAACCGATCTATTAAACTGCAAATTAAAATTTATTAATAGATCTACAATTTTATATAAACTATAATTATTATAGAAATTTAATTTATGGAATTACCTGCGTAATTAAATTTATTATTGCGATTAATAGGTTATATTATTAAAAAATTCAAAGAAAGGCTAGAAGAAAATTATTTAATCTAGTTATCTTGCAATTTTATGGTAGAAAATGGAAACATGTGCTTCGAAGCGCATCAATTTGAAAAGTAGTTACAACGCTTAATGGTACACGTGGAAATTATGTTACGTATCGAGAATTATTACGTAAAAGTGTTTTTTTCTTTTTTTTCCTTTTTTTTTTTTTCTTTTTTTTCCTTTTTTTTTTTTTCTTTTTTTTAATAAGATTTGTAAATATGATTAATCTTGCGCTTTATCGTGTACAATTAATTTTATACGAATTCTTGTAAATACCGCGAAATTCTAGTTACTTTTAAATTTTTAAACAAGCGAAATTATTAGAAAGGTATTTGATTATGTACAAAGTGGCTTCCTGTATTAAATGAGACATATGACCAAATTCGTAATATAAAAAAGAAGAAAATTTTATATAATTTTATAATTTAGATTATTATTTGAATATTTTAATTTTTTTAGAACATTAACCAAATTTACATATTTAAATAATTAAATTTATTTTTGTCTAGAATAATTTTTTGAATCATGTATAATTCGATGAAACTTGGTTAATCGCATACATAACCTATTTACAAATAAACAATGATAGAATTCAATTCCTTTGTATTTTCTACAAAAATTATTTATTTATTATATCTGACGGTTACATAAGACTGCTTGTTGTTCGATAACAAAAGTGAACAAATTTTGTTACATAATGCAACAGCTTTTTTAAAGTTTAGTCAATTGTCACGTATTTAAGGAAAAAAAAAAGTTATTTCGGCATAAAAATACGAATGAATGTATCACGCGTAGGTAATTCAGGTGTACAATCATTACAATGATAATAGTAGGGAATTTCGAATGGTCGATTCGATTGTCTTATCTGAACATCGTCGTCAAGTCGTCAGTACACGTGGCAAGAAAATAACCATGTTGGCAATCGAGTCACGACATACGTCACCTATAGTCTTTCTTCATTTGCATAACAAATTTTTGATCCCCTTCCAGTACAATCTTTCCTTCGCTTGGTAAAACTTTCTGCCTCTTGCTTCAATATTGCTACAACACAATATTACTTGAAATAATAATATAATATATTATTATCACCATTGTCATTGTTAAAAATTTATTCGAACTGGTATTTTTATGTTAATTTATTTAAATATACTTAATTTATATTAAAATAAGAAAAATAGTATTGCTATAAATATAAAACTATATCTAATTTTATCCAAATGGATATAAAACATTAAAAGAATAATAAATATTGTTTATAATACAATGTAGAACAATACCATCTGGCGTACCAATATAATTACTAAATATAGAGTTATTTATAGTTTATATCATGAAAGAGAGATAGGGTATAAAATAGAAAGGAATTAAGCTATTAATAGCATTATAAAAAAAGCGAAGTTATTGAACTATCGACGATAGTAAATGGTTGAGCAAAAGTGATGTAAGCACGAAAAATGGTATTTAATGATAGATTCGCTGGAAGACTCGCCAATGAGGTTACTCGAAGTTAGCAGTCTTCGAAATAGGGTAACCGGATAACGATCGAACGATTAGTAAAGATTCAATATGGGCACAATTAAGAAAGTAAATGTACAATTTGTTGAATTGGTTAATATATGTGAACATATTCTTTTTTTATTATTAAATTTTTAGATTTAAAAGCACTAGAGTGACAGATCTACATGAAAATAATGAATAGTTCTATAGAAAATGAAAAAAATTGGATTTAATGGGTAGTAATTTAGTGCAAGTGCAAAAGAGACTGCCATAAAATATATGATATACCGACATTTTCATTCGGTTTTTTATAAATTGTTTTCATAAATGAATCAGTATTCTGTTTTGAAAAATATAGCAAATTAGGTTTCACTATTTGATTGTCATTTGCCGATCCAATTATTCGATGTGCACGCAAATTGTGAAGATGTCGAGGGCAACGACATTGACACTCTTTTTAAACGGTCGACAGTAGGTCGCAGCACATGATGCAATTACAAGAGCCTCATAACTGTGTTACGTTCTTCGCTGTAATCCAGACGTTCACTCTCGAATTTCTCTAGGATCTAATCGATGAACAATAAGCGTGGTTGATACTTGAAATTGTCAAGTTTATAAAATCGCGTATAATGCATAGAATTTGTATTTAATGCTATTATTCATATTTACATGTTAAAACAATTGACTCTTACTTCTACTCCTTTTATTACTTACCAGTATCTAAATTATCTATTACCAGTTGACTATTATGCGTTTTGCAACAAAATTGTAAGGTAAATGGTGTAATAATTACGTGTCTCGAGGAAAAATTATGGCCGTTGATTCTCTTATTATTCCGGCGTTTGATATATATTGAAATGTGTTGCAGAAAGTGAGAGTGGTGAGAGGGAAACCTGTTTCAAGCTGTAGGCCTTCTACCTCCGATAAAAGTAGAATTGTAAAGGCCAATGAATGCGTTCCAACCGTATGTGTTATTTCAAATAAGAATACAAATAGCAAAAATGTAACGTAGTGTCAAGATCATTTCCTTTTTCTTTTGATCATGGTTACGTGATAATACACACGTGAATAACATCAAAATGCTAACGACCTCATACATTTATAGCATTTCCGCTTGAATCTTCAATTAAATGTTTATTTAATATTATTTAATATTTTCTGTTTTATCCAAAAAAATTTTGTTTCTATGATGCATTGTATAGATATATCGCATTGATTTTTACAGGAAAAAACATATCGATTCGTTTTTATGTTGAATTTTATGCGCTATATTTTTAACGTGCGTTGAGCGATTCGTTACACAGGCTGATATGGGCAAACAAGTTTTCCTTCATTCTCTTCATGCATGTTTGTTACCGGTCTCCTTGTGTGGCATCCATGATTTATTTCTATGACAAATTTGTTTATTGAATTGGCCGGAAGCTGTACAACGTGCATACACGTTTATTGTGTTAGCTGGTTATCGATGTAACAAGATGGAACAAATCGGTTGCCATCAAATTTTCTTGCTTGGTTACTATGATTTGTAAGAAAATTAAATATTGATTTTTTGTCTGTTGCGTGATATGACAAAAATTTTGCGTTTGCAATACTCTCTGGCGATAATGGCACTGATATAAATTCACTCATGCCATCTCTTGTTAACCTTTTTCAATTGTTCATTTCCTAAATATTAAATAAATTATGTTTAATACATATTGAGAAATTTTGAAAGAAATTTCTTACTTTTTTATGTTAAATTTGTTGTAACACAATTTTTAAAAATAAAATTTTGTATGGTATTCAGTTAATGACAAAATTAGTTTTATTAACGATTTTGTAATAATCAATCAGTCCTCTAATTATTCAAAAAAATTTGGTAGAGCATTGGTCAACAAGTATTGATCAAATAAACTAAGCATATCACGTTGCATGTTTAGAATAAACAACGATTAAACTTTGTGAATATTGTAGATAGGATCATTATTGAAAAATGTATTATTCAATGCTTATATTTACATATTAAAGTTAACGAATTATATTATTAGAAAATATACTCAGTATCTAGCAGTGGTGTTTTAATTTGTGTTTACAAAAAATGTATTTTAAACTAAATATCTTATAAAATTCATCGTTATTATTTCATTAAGAATTTTATTATTGAATTATATTAAAGTACAAACTATTAAAATTAGTATTTTTAGTATATTAAGCATTACGATTTTTGTTATTTAATATTACAAATATCAATGTTCCATATTCAATACTTGGACTCAATACTTGGATAATTATTTATATTTATTGATACTTGCCTTATATGGTATTTTCTATTCAATATTCAGTTTTCATTTAATATTTAATTTTTGCGACATTTAGATTCCATTTCACAAATTTGTACACATTATTCAGCATTTGACATGTGGTATTCAATACCCAATATTTAATATTTAGTGTATATACATAGTATTCGGTATATATCCTTCAGTATTTGCTATCTATATATAATATGGAACTAATAATTAATACTGAAAATTTATATAAAATATAAGAATTCAAAAATATATGATAACATTTGTTTTCAAGTTGTATCTTAGAAAAATAATTATGGTTTATTGCAGTATTATAATAGCTATCAAAGAAACAAATGAATAGTATTACAAGTCTTACTTACTTTTCGATTTCTGCAATAACAGATAATCGTATATGAAATTACATCATAGGAAACAGATGATATAATATCGTTCAATTGTGAAATCATCATTCTATCCATTTACTAACGGACTTTCCCAAATCGATGACAAAGGAAACCGATCGAACGAAGATGAAAATTGCCGTTAATGCTGTTTGCACGTCAAAGGCTAGTGCAGCAGTTGCCAGTATTTACCATGCTCGGTCGCTGCAAGCCTTCTTCGATTCTCCCTTTTTGTCTGCTGGCTCAGTGCACCGTTGACTCTCGAGCTGTAGCTGCGGAATAGAATGGCGGGCTTTTCGTTGTGTTTCTAGTCAAAGAAATTCATTTTTAGTTTTTATTATCCGTAAAGAATATTAAGAGTCTTTTAAGAATGAAGAAACAAAATGTATTTATTATCGTATACGATGTGTGAATACTGCTTTTCAATTATCGAATAATAATATTTTCATAAGTTAGGAAGTATTCATACTTGTAACTATTCGTTCGTCGGGTGTGCGCCTTTTTACTGGTCTCGAAGCATTAAAATTTATCGCCCATTACTTGTTTCACTTTCAAAAATAACGTTGTCAGTAAATCGTATTTATATATTTTATTTGCGATTGCTATTCATTGCCTTGAATAGAAGATGCGTAAAGCTTTATAGCATATGGTAAGAAGTTCGTACGGCTTTTAGTCGGTGCTAGTTTCTTTTTTATGCGCGCGTAGATATCGAAATAAAACTGGTGAAAAGATTTAAAATTATCTTGTACGGTTCGTTGATACTAACCTATGCCATTCGTGACTAAATTCTCAACTAAACTACGCATTTATCTTTGGTTGTTTTTTTTTTTCGTTTTTAATTTATTTCAATTTTTCTGTCTTATACTTTCGATTCGAAACGATGAAAATGTGGAGTATAGGTCAAGAAAAGAAGGGAATGAAGTCATTCGAACGCACCTGTTGCTCTGTTTCGAAGGTTGCTCGAAAAAACGACGGTGAAGTGGCCATTTGAGTGCTAAGTGCGCGAATACGATTATAACAGTTGTTGCATAGAATTGTTATGTATTTTTTATTCTGTCATATTCAGAAAGTGTCAGCGTATGTGCAAATTCATGTTTACAGAAACGTTATGTAAAATTTTGACGTATTTTTTCTACCGTGTGAAAGACGCAAAAAATAAGAAGTCTTGTGTGAGCACAACTTGTACTCTTGAATATTCGACGAAGTTATTTTGCATATGAAGAGAGTTAATTTCACACGCGTGATACACAATGAAGATTAATAAAAATACGAGTGATACTGTTCAACGTGAGTTTATCTTGATTCTCGTATCGTTTTTACTTTCGAAATCATTATTCATATATTGTACATTTATTGCACACGTCAATCTATTGTAACGATACGTTTTAATATAGTAGTAAAATTTTAATATTTCGTTCGCTTTGAAAGAACAGTGTAATTTTTTTTTTTATACTTTATGGTTCTTTTATATGTTACTTTTCATGATAGCAATATCTTTATTAGTGTTAGCTTTGTTTTATACTATATTTTCTAAAAGTGTTGCCACTGTTTTGTAATCGCAACATTTCTAACGAGTATTTTAAACTGTCAGTACAATCAGTCGTTCGCCATTACTGAACTCTCTTTTCCATCACCAGGTGGCTGTATCTTTCGAGCTCACGATTTCAACGGAATTTCAAGAATTTTCTTCTGCTATATTTAAAAAAATTTATTTACTGAATTAATATAATTGTTTACCCTGTAAATTAATTATTTATTATTTATTTATTTATTTGTTTATTAATTAATTAATTTATTATTTATTTATTATATTATTTATTTAATTTCAAATTTGAAATTTACAGGTCGGAGGATCATTATTATCCTATACTAATTTTTTAATTTTATCTTTAAATGAATATTTAAAAAAGAAATGCACAATTGCTCCGATATTCGTCTGACAATATCATTTATCTTTTTTGTGGCGACGGTTATAGGCAACATGGAATGAAGCTAATGTGCCATTATTATTTCAACAAAGATTACTCCTGTCGAATTAATTTGGCCAGAAGACAAGCCCGAGACAGGTTATTTTGTCAGGGAGATAATTCTTTGAAACAATTCTCTTACCCAGCAAACAATGCGTTAAAAGTTGAAGCTCGAGATCTCGCCAAACCGAAGTAGAATAACCGCTCGGGGCTTTTTTTATGCACGCGCAATTCTTTTTCTGTCCTTTCGACGATAACTTAAGCCTGAAATGTTTAGGTCACGTTTCTAGAAGATCGTATTGCTTCAAACAAAATGAGTTTTTGTCTTTTACAAGGTGACATCGTGGCAATTTATTTTGTAATATTTTTTTAGTAGATATTCTTCTATTTTCAATAATCTAATATAATATTTTGAATTTCCCTATTTAAATATATTTTGTATTCGATTGATTAACTATGTACTACATAGTCTAGGTTAAATGATCGTTAATCCTCGTATCAAGTATATCAAATTTGATCACATATTTTAACAGATTATTCTGTAATATATATTTGTAATTGCTTTTTTTGTATTTTGTTACTCGCTGTGTTTTACTTGAAATCAATCATCTGTATTTTTGTCCAGCCTGATAAGTCTAGATCGCTGAGACTGTAATACGAGAAACGGGGCACGGTAGCATACAGGTTACTTTCGCTTTTGCGGTGATTTGTGTTTTCGAAGCAAACGAAAGATCGACTCAACCGAAAACAGGTCAACAAGCAAATCTACAGCTGTGTATCACTTGCGTAACGCGTGCTCTGTGTTTCGAAAAGTGGCTTGTACACTTCTAACACACACGTTGCATTGCTTATTTATAGAAAATAAGGAAATCGAGAATAATATCAAATTATCGTTTGAGTATGTTCCATTATGAAGTATTTTATTTGTACATACATATACATATACAACAGATGACTGACGTAAATTTGTATTTCGGAAGGAGAATCACCTGTAAAAATATACTAAGAATAATTTGAAAGAAAAACACCATTTTTGATAAATAAGTCCAAATTAGGTGAGAAGAAAACGGTTTCTTTTTTTAATTTTAATATTATTAATAGTGGCAACAATGTAATTTCTACGTTATGGAACTTTACGTGTACAGATACTTTCTGTATAATTGTACAAAAAGCAATAAAAAAAAGAAAAGAATTGTTATGTAATTTTAGTAAAATTATATTAGCGTAACTGAAGAATAAAATAAATTATTATTTATTACTTAAATTTGTTTCCATAATATTTTTATATATTGAATATAGGTATTTTAACAAACATTTTTTGGTCTTTTATACTTAGTGTAATCTTAGTTTTTTTTTCATAACATTAATATAGTACTTACATGTGAAATTATTATACACGTTATTGTATTATTACATGTATTATTACAATAATGTTCTGTTACAATAGAAGTCAATGAAAAGTATTTTTTTGTTTGAAGTTTTTGTACTTTACTTCAGATATATAGTTATGGATAAAATTATTTATGAAATACGTGTGATGCAGATAATTGAGGTCATGAAGTTACGTATAGATTATAAGTAATATGATAAGAATTCGTTTTGAATTAAGAAGTTTGACATTGACTTATACGAAATATTATATTAATGAAATATTTTATTGTTTTATAGAAAACGGCATCAATGCTGGAAATCACCCGACTATTGTAACGGCGTCAAAGGATAGAAGAAAATTTAATCAAAAGGTATGCGATGATTCTAATCACACAATGAAATGTTGTAACGATAATTATATTTATGTACTGTACTTAACAGATGTGCGTAAAAGTATGTTCATAAACACTTATTTGTATAATTTGTTAGTAACGAATGTGTGAAATTTGTACATTGAAACGCCGTAAATTTGAATTTTATAAAGTATTGTTCTTGAGGCTTCATTTATTTGTTATTTTATTATGGAATATAATTAAAATTTGATTTATGAATGTTACAGGCAAGTGACTTCTCGGATATCGGCGATTGGCCAACCTTAGAAGCTTCAGGAGAGGTGGGTAAAGTTATTTACTATTTTTTTGTTCTTTTTTTTTCAGTACTTGCGGTCATTTTTTTGATTGAGTTTTTAACTCTTTTAACAAAATAATATTTAATTAAAATTAGTGTAACATATTTCAATTTTGTTCGTTAGTTATAAAGTAAAAAATATGAACAATGCAAAAGCTAGAGCTCATAGGGTTTAATTTACTATATACCTATGAGTGTAGGACTTCTTGCTAAAATAATGTTGAATGTGGCCTCATTGCGGACGTATTTTTAATCCGTGACATTTTATTACATTCAAATAGTAATTTATTTCCTTATATAAAAATATCATGTGATTTGTATATTTTATATATTTTCTTTATACATATTATTCAAAAAGAATATATTTTCTCTTAGAAGAAGACAGTCGCGACAGCACAGAAGCAAAATGGTGTAGTTGAACAAAATAATGGTAAAGAAAGCAGTGGTAGCGCTATAGAAAGCAGAGGAAAGGAAAATAAGGAGCAAACCCATTGTCAAGATGTTAATGAAGAACACACGGATGGTATTGAGAAGAAAAAAAAAGGTACTAATTATTGATTTGTTTTCCAAGATTAGTAAAAGATTATTCTAAATTGTATTTTTCTTGTTTCTTTTCTTATAATTGTAATTATACATAATATTATGAATTTTTAATACGTTTGTGTTATCATTATAGTCAACAAGCAAAAATGGGTACCATTGGAAATAGATGTAACAAAGAATCGAAGTAAAAGAGAGCATTCGCCAAAGTATCACAATCAAAGAGAAAAGAACGGAGAAGGTATATAATTAATATTTATTATAGTTTCTAGTTTTACTATTCTAATAAATAATTTTGATTAACGTAAACGTAGTGTTTTTAAATGTCATATATTAATTAAAAAATCATTTTTCAGCAGAAACAGATTCCTATAGAAATAGAGAGTATGATAGGCCAGCATTCATCACGAGAGGTGGAAGAGGTGGACGAAGTTACAGAGGAAGGGGAGGTCGAGGTGGACGAGGCGGCTATCGTGGTAGTTTTAGGCACCGGCATGATCAAGTTTATATGCAGGTAATTTTGTTTACCGATTTCTTTTTTTTTTGTATATGATACAATATGATAATCTAAGAAATAACGATAATGATGACATAAAATTGATGGGAATCTCTCATAATATCCATTGATGAATAACGAAAGTAGATCTGATATTGAATATTTTGAGATAAAATAATATTCAATTCTTAGACATGTTATTTTCAATAAACACATTTTTGTAGATGTACAAGTTTGGACTTCTGGATCCTAGTTATATGATGGCATATATGGGAACATTTTATTTCAATAATACCAATTTCGTTAATGTAAATGTAACGACGCTAAAAGAATTTTTAAGGAATCAAATGTAAGTTTAATCATCTGTTGAAAAAGAAAAGATAAAAAAGAAGGAGAAAACCTAACCCAAACTTAAATTTTTTTATTATGTAAATCATATTTTTGCAGAGAATATTACTTCAGTGAAGAAAATCTTTTAAGAGACTTCTTCCTACGTCGTAAAATGGATGCACAAGGCTTTTTACCTATTACTTTAATTGCTTCTTTTTATCGTGTACAAACTTTAACGACAGATGTTGGACTTGTTATCGAAGCAATAATGGAATCCGACAAATTGGAATTAGTGGATGGATTTAAGGTGAAATTAATATATTTTCAAAATTCTAATATGCACAAATCACCATTCAAATTCGCCTACATTTTTTTATATGTTTGGTAAAAGATTTGTGCTAGATCAAGTGGAAGAGGATTCGCTGACACCATTCGAGCTTAATTTAAGTTCAATGAATGGAGTTTGAAAGTAGGCCTCTTCACAAATTTATGCTTAAAATTTATATTTGTTGACATATGATTGACGAATTATTAGTTGTTATTAGATTCATTAGATAATATCGTTTAAATTATTATTCATTAAGTTCTATCAGAACTTCAAGAGATAAGCTAAATCTTTAAAATAATTTTTAACAATTATTTTATTCATTAGGTCAGGACAAAAATAGATCCTTTGAAGTGGCCTATCTTGGACGCGGCTGGAAATCCCGTATTCTTAGAACCGTCTGATGCTTCGAATCCATCTCAGAATGAAGTAATACTCTCCTCCACGTCCGAATCCGATTTTTGTCCTGCTGCCAGACCCTTATCAACGGTTCCTATTCCTCCAGTTCCACGTGTTCTTCAATTCAACCACAATATTCCAACAGTAGGGAGGCTCAGTGAATCAGAAAGTATATCCTCGTCAATAGGCGACAGTTTAAATCCTGATGTACCGGAGTTCATACCGAACGAACTGACAGAAAAAAGTAATGAACCTATTGGGTCCAATAGTAGAAATGAACAAGCCAAGACGGAGATGCAGCCAGAAGAAGTAAAAAGCATTCCAACACCATCGAATAAAGGTTCATCACTGCTTTTGGGTAATAAATTCTCAGAAGTGGATGATAAATTATCCACAACGGCCAAGTGTTCTAGTTCAAGTTCGGTACCAAAAGTACAAGTTAATGGAGAATTACAATCGGCTAATGATGTGTGGAAAGAGGTAATTTTTTTTTCGTGTACTATTAGTATCAACATTAAATTAAATGTTCGCGTTTTTTTAATCCACAGAAAAAACACACTTCCACTTTTACAAGTTATTCAAGATCTTAAATTGAACTATACTTTTTTACCTAGAAATGTAAAGAATACAATGAATTTATAACAAAGGTGTAATAGGATGTGTTACCGATTAAGTAAATTAGCATATTTGCCCAATACGTCGGTGTATAAAAATTGCGACATAAACTGTGGATCTATTTCAAACAAGTTATTACTATTAGTAATAAGTAATAACTGAGTTCATGAAAATGATAGGTAAGGCGAAGGGTGAAACCATCACATAAGGAGAAAAATGAAGAAAAAGAGAAAGTTGATAACGTTAAAAATGAAGAAAGAGAGGAGTTAGACTTTCAATTTGACGAGGAACTTGATACACCACCACCAACTGGCCGGCATAATGCTTTTTCCGAATGGTTTGTTATTACATGATTAATTTTCTTTTAATTATATTATTGATCTTATTTATGAGTTTCACATCTCTAAAATAAAAAATGTAATAATTTAAAAGTATAGAGTATTCATAAAAATAAACAAAGTATTCTTTTAATACTGATTTGCAAATATTTAATGAAGTTAGGTCAACATAAAATTAAGTGTTATTTCAAATCATACTTTTGTTATTTTTTATAAAAAGTGTTCTTTGCGCTGTTTTCTTTTTTAGTATAAATTTAATTTGTTGGAGAAAACTACAAATTTTTAAAAAATTATGTATTTATGTTTTGTGATATGCGCATTCTATGTTAATATAACATTGTTTTGTTTATTTTACTAATTATCGTATACTTTTAAATTATTGCACATTTCTTTTTATATCATTCCGTATGTGTGAAAATTAACAAACGATATATCGTAGGTCTGAAGACGATGAAGATTATGAATTGTCAGATAGAGATGTTAATAAGCTTTTAATTTTTACACAAACGACGGTGCCTATGTCGACGCGTATTCCAAAACACGAAGGGCATGATCGAACCGGTGATTGGACAACTAGAGTGAAAATGACCCAAGATCTCGAGCAAGCCATCAATGATGGATTGTATTATTATGAAGAAGATTTATGGATAAAAGATGGTCAAAGAGTAAGTATAAATTATTTTTTATGCAAAATATTATTATATGTAAATTATTTTGTTGCTTATAGTATGGATCTTCATCGTCAATTGGAAGCTATAAAACTGTAACAGTTATTAGTCAAGAAGATTTTGAGAAAATGGCGCCTAAAGTACCTAAAAAAGCTAATCCAGAAGTTCCTCCTCCACCCCCATCTGCGATAGAAGATATGGAGGTATCGCATTCTCTTCCAACACAGGTATTTTGTTTATCATCATATTTGTTTAACTATAGTTATATTAATTTTATAATTCATAGTTTAGTCCTCTCATGATTAAATATAATAATATCTTGCAATGTCTTGTAGGAATGACTTCATTATTTATATATTTTTTTCATATATTTCAATATTATATTCTAATTGTTATTTTACCACTAATGTTATTTAATATAATCATGGTACCGATAGATGTCATCGACTATAGACAGTCCGGAGAAAAAGGATCGTCGTGT